GTAGGGGTGGGGGCGATAGGCCTCAGTGCTGCGCCTTTCGGAAAGGGAAGGGCCTTGCCCGTGCAGGTATCTGAGATGGACGCGCTGATATCAGCCTGCTTGCAACCACGGTGCACGCGGTCAAATTATGGTGACCACTGCTGCTGCCAACAACCGCTGCTGTGAACAAACAGCTGCTGCGAATAGCGGTGGGCACAGCAGACAATGGATTCCACGTCACCCAACCAAACACACAGCATCATCTGGGACCATATCGGGTCAATACGCTTCGTTGAGTAGGAGCAGAAGATACAGACAATTTGCCGGCTGGCTGCAAAGCCCTGGCACACACCGCCGCACCTGAATGTCCCAGGGCAGCTTCGGCGTCACCAGGTGTGGCAGGCGGCTCTCGGGGTCCCCGTACGTCACCAGCATGAAGCAGCCGCCAGGCACCAGCACCCTGCAAGGCGGCGGCAGACGGGCTGCCTCCTCAAAAACAGTCGTGCATGTGTGGGGGCGCGAACATGCGTCGCAGCGTGCGCATGCGAGCCTGCAAGCCCACACCAGCGCCCGCGTTATTGGGCCACCCCAGAATTGTCTGCAAAATGGCCTGCTAAGCACAACCAAGGGATTGCTTCGCCTGCAGGCTCTCAGGCCTTTAAGCGTTGAAACAAGTCAGAAATCTCGCCTGCAGCACTCCGCCAGCGCCGCCGCCGCGTTGGCGACCGGCGACTGGCCGCACACGATGGCGTCCAGGGTGCCTTTGTCCAGGACGCCGGCAAAGGCGCCGTCTGCAAACTGGGGCATGCTCCTGAGAAGCACAGCGCAGCAGCCAGGCGGGGGGGAGGGTATCGATGATCGGTGTGGGGGCCGTTGCGACGGCCTGTCTCATGGGCACGTCAACGTGTCCAGCGGCGAGGCGGGCGGCGAAACCTCTCACTGCACCACGGGCGGATGCTGCTCTGGTGGCTTGAGCTTGCTGCGCCATGATCAACACATCCATCCGCGCCCACGCAACTCAAACAATGCAGATGTTAATACCTTGCAGTGGCTGACGGCTGACCGACGGCAGACGGGGAGGGGGGGGCTTTCAGCGTCGCGGTGCCGCCGCGCTTTGTGACATCAATTCATTCTGTTTGATGCCCACCTCACATCCGCTGCCACGTACTCCAGCTCAGCGATGCCGCTGTGCAGCTTGGCCATCTGATCCACCACCACCTGCACATCACACCAGATCACACCAGATCACACCAAGTGAAATCGGGCTAGGTCAGCATCGGTCCAGGTGGAGTGAGTGGTGCCTGTGAGCAGGTCACCAGCCGGATGGTGAGGCCCACCGCCGCATCAAATCGCGTGTCGAAATGACGGCACAGCCCAGCGCCAGCGGCCACCACCGCGTCCCGGGCTCAACGCAGGCACCAAAGCCGCACACGTCTCAAAACGTCGGGAAGACGCCCCCGAAACGGGCCCCGACACGGGAATGGCGACGTCCGCAAGGCAGCACCGCCCATGGCGGCTGCACGATCTACGGCAACCGGCGCGTGACTCACCGTGGAGACGTCCACGTTGACGACGCGCCTGAAGCCGCCCTCCCGCACCATGCCCTCCTGCAGCCGCGACGTGCCCGCGCCCACCTGGCGTTTCAAAGTTGCGACAGGCGGCGCCGCGGGCGGGTGCTGAAGGACTTGCTGGCGGCGCGGCGGGGATCGCTGTGCACGGCCGCCGGCCCCGCCGGGTGCTCGGCGGAGCCTTCTTCTCTCGCGCCTGCCTGCCATCATCCTCGGGGGCCGCGTCGCAACAGCTGCGGCCAGCGCACGGCACCCTTCATGGCCAGCAGCGCGCCAAGCCGCTCACTGCAACGCACGTTGCCCACCCCATGAGCCGCCGCGTTGCGCCTGCATGCATCGAGCCTTGACCAAGCGCGCCCGCTGCTGCGTCTACCACCCCAGTCAAGATGAGATTTGTCGGTCCCCTCACTACCCTAGAAAACTCAAACCCTGGCTCACGTGCAGCAGGGGCTCCTCTGGTTTGAAGTGCTTGAGTATGACCTCCTTAAGTCCCGGCCAACCCTGATACCTGCAGTGTGGTTGGAAATCATTGTTGATGGTATGCAGATGCTTCAGTCAACGCACGCACGTGCGCACGCCGCAGGATCCCCACCTCAACCAGGCGGCGCGATCGGCCGCACGTCCACCGCCGCTGTTGTAAGCGCAGCCCGAAACAACCCCTGGTCTGCAAGCCCCCTGTGTTGTCAAGCGCTTCATGGCACCCTGCTGCACCCCGTTTCACCCTGCCGCTGCCTGGCCGCGCTTCCCGGGGCGCACCAGTCAAACGTCACCGGCTCCCGCGCGTAGCGGTCGTCCCAGTAGCTCGCCTCCCCATACTGCCGGCGTTTCGGTTGGGGCATGTACAAGGCCGGCGTACGAAACATGAGTGTACATAATTGCAATTCGAACATGGCTGGGCCTCAAGCGCCGCTCCCCATTGCTGCCGTGCTGCTCATGCTGACGCTGCGCCTGCACACGCGCGCATGCAGCAGGATGACCGGCCTCGATGCGAGCAATCATACCTACGGGCATCACACCACGGGTCATTCTCACATTTTGATGCGGGATTGCTGGTGGGGGTGGCGGAGGAGGAGGCACATCGTCCTCCATGGCGTCGCACCCGTACAAGGAATGCTGGAAACACCCCACAGAATCTTTGTGCAAGGACGCGCTGTCACTAAAAGCTACCCAGATCGGTTCGAGAAATCTCGCTGCTGGTTGCTTTCAGGCGAGAGGCGGCACAGTGCTTACGGCACTTGACCGCATATCGGCTACCATTTGTAGTGAGCAGGATCCTCAGACTTCTTGTCCGGCACTATGATACTACCCGTAGTCGCGGTGGGGTGACACCTGGCGAGTGCATCTTCAATGTCCTGCCAGCAGCGCTCACTGCCTGCAAGGGAGCTGGCATGTACTCTGGATATGCACTGCGTCACAGTCACCGGCCTCCCACCTCATCCCACAAGCCAAGCCTCTGCCTGTCGGCCTCGGGCTGCGACTAGACCGGGTGCGACCTTCGATGGCGCTCGTGCTGATGGGCTGCAATGGTGCGGCGCCGCTGCCGAAACAAATACGGCAAATGCGCATTGCATGTTGTGGGGGAGACTGCCTCCACACGGTGCGTATCGGCATCCCTTGGCCTGCCAACTGCATTGTTCCTGTATGAACAGGGGATAGCAACCATGTGCCCATGTACATGTCCGTCGTGTTGTTAGCAGTACAACCTGTGCATCAAGACGGCTGCCAACCTGGAATTTCCGTAGGCAGAGGAATGATTGAGGCTGTTGATATCGTGCTTGGCTGCCTTCTTTTTTGTAATCTGATCTTTCACGCCCACCTTCAGCATCCTCTGCAAGCCATGCAGCCTGGATCCATGGATGTATTGAAGGCTCTGCAACGGACGTATCTAGCAGACTCTGCCATGATACATCAGCCCCCAACCTGACCATGAGGTCTGCTGTTGAGGCTGTCATGCACAATGGGCGCCGGTGCGCACCAGGCGCCGGGCGCGGGCTCTGGCCAAGCAACCCAATGCAGTGCGACCACGACGGATGACTGTCCAGTTGCCACCAGCAAGCCAGGCGCGCCTCTGCTGCGGTCGAACGACCGTGTAGCAGACTTGATGTGCAGTGCCCTTGCTTTTGAAACAGTGTCAATCTCGCAAATGTGCGCTGCAACGGTTACATTTGTGCCACATTTCAACTATTGCTGGAACCGTTGAGTGTATGTGTGCTGCGTAGAAACGCCTGCTTGTTTTGGGAGCAGCCTTGGGGGACAGGCGGGGGCGCTGTAGGGTCGCGCCGCCGCTTGATGTCATGCAATCACATGTTCTTCAGTCACCCGACACACTCGCAGCTGCAGGTGCAGCGCCTGGCCTCGTGTGGCGCCATCACTCCACGGAAGTATCGTCGCTTATAATTCGCGTAGCCAACCTGGGCTGAAAGGCTTGCCGCCAGATCGCGATCGGTTGCAGCACTTCGTTCTTGCTCGGTGCTCCGGCCCCTCCCACTTTTCAAACATGCCGGGACGTTTTGATGGGCGCGTCGCTATCGTCTCCGGCGCGGGCAGGGGCATCGGCAAGGCCATTGCTACACGGCTAGCTGCTGAGGGCGCCAGCGTGCTGCTGTTTTCCCGGACCGAGTCAGAGCTGCAGACGGTGGCGGCGGAGATCGAGGCGTCAGGTGACATGGCTGATGTTCAGCTTGTTGTTGATAATTTGCGATGCATTGCTGCTGTATGCTGCTGCGATACGAGCGCCCACACACTGCTTTGTTAGGCACATGCCTCAGTGCCCGCAGCTGCCTCGTCTCGAGTGCCCAACATCACCCGCACCCTCCAATCAAGGCATCCTAGCGCTCTGCACAATCGCCTGTGCCATATCTCATGCCCCATCCGCTGCCATCCCTGACCACAATTGCATGTCGAAGTGCACACAACACAGCCCACACCACACACACACACACACACACACACACACACACACACACACACACACACACACACACACGCAACCAGGCGGCGCGGTCCACTACGTCGTCGCGGACGCCTCCAAGGAGGACGACGTGGTCCGCGCCGTCGCTGCGGCCGAGGAAAAGTTTGGCGCCCCCGCCGACATCTTCATCGCCAACGCCGGGTGGTACCCCTTCATCAAGCTCGACGACGTAACCTTGGACCAGTGGAACGAGGTGGGGCGCGCGCCCGTGGCGGGACACGACTGCTGGTGTCTCTTGTGGTAGTTTTTTTTCTGGTATAAATTGCATGTGCATGACATTACTGTTCAGCCGGGCGCGGCTAGACCCCAGATTTTGAGGCTGAGGCCGGCAGCTCCCTCAAAGTCCACAGGAGCTACTACGGCATGCTCTCAGCGGGCGCCGGCCTGACGCCGTGCTCGTCCTTCCGCGGCCGCCAGTCAACCCCGCTGCCAGCGCCAACCTCAACACCAGCTCACCCCGCCTGCGGCCCGGCCCGCAGATCATTGCCGTCAACCTGACGTCAGCGTTCCTGGCGGTCAAGGCGGTCACCCCGGGGATCGTCAAGGCCGGCAAGGGCGGCCGCATCGTGCTGATCTCATCCATCTCCGGCCCCAGGGTGCGCCGCGCAGGGG